TATCTAAACCACTTGCATTGTTCAAATCAAAATGTGTAAAAAGGTGTGAAAAGGTGTAAAAAGGTGTACCTAGAGAAGTCTCACTCCTGCTCTCTTTACCCCTTCCTCTGTAGGTAACTGCTTTCATTAGTTTCTGATTTATCTTTTTTGCATTTCTTATTAAAAACTAAATGAAATATATAACTATATTTTATTTCATCATCTTTGTTACCAAAAAGGTCACATACAATGCACACCTTTTTTCACATTGCCTTCTGTTGAACAGAATACATGAATTATTATCAGTTCATGTAGATCTTCTGTGCTCTTTTTCTGGCTGCACACTACACCATCATGGATGTGTGCCTTAGTTGATCCAATCAGTCTGCTATCTATGACTGGGCATTTAGGTTGTTTCCATAGTTTACGACCACAAATAGCGCCACAATGAATACCACTGTGAGTATGCTGTTCTGAACTGAGGGGTGTGTATCCTCCCAACAGAGATGCCATGGAGTCAAAGGCTACGTGCATGTGTAACTGTGTTATCCTCTGAAATTTTCTTCAGCGGTCATTGTACCATTTTGTCTTGCTACCAGTAATGAATGAGAGTTTTCCTACAGTCTTGTCTGTATGATGTGTTGTAAGTTTTTGAATTTTTGCCAGTCTGACTGGTGAGAAATGGTAAGTCACAGTAATTTTAATTTGCATTTCCCAACTTAAGCATCTTTTCTTATACTTAAGAAGGGTTATGTGTTTCACATGATTTAAAAAACCTATTTCTTTCTTAATTTTCTGGCTGTTACTCTTGATCAGGTTCCTGCTACTTAGTACCTGGGTGTGTGAAATAGTCTTCCAGCAGGTTTCTTTGCCTATAGCCTTTCTCCTTTTGATGATCCTAAACACAGTTAATGTGGTTACCAAATTGATATTACTAAAACATCCTTTAAAACACTCACTCTTTTTAAAAGAACCTTCAATTATTCCCTTTTAGCCACAGAATACTTTTAAACTCATTAGTCCAGAATTCAAGATACGATTTCTAGGCACTTTCCAAACTTTTCTTTGCCTACTCCCTTATATCGATTTATTCCTTCTGCAAAACTGATACATTTAGTGTCCTAAAATCCATGACAGAGTTTCTTCCTCCAAACCCTTTTTCCTGCTACTGTTCAGGTCAAAAGCTCCCCTGCAGTACAGCCCTGCACTCTCATCTGTCTAAACTATAAGGCTTATCTCAAGTCCCGTCTTCTGGAATCTTTCCTTGACCACTTCACTGTCCAGGGATTCCCTCCTTTCTAAATTCTGTTGGTATAAATCTTTGTCCCTTATTTAGCATTTAATTTTATGGCCCTTTTCTTTTTTTGCAATTACTTAAAAGTTTAAAATTTGTGTATATTTCCCCCCAAGACTAGGGACTATAGAAGTTTTAGTGAGCAAATGCTAATGGATTTTCATAACCTACTTCTGAGCCAAGATAAGGGCAATATATCTCTATTTTGTTGACAAGATAATGAAGTAAAGAGAGATTATATAATTTAATGACATCAATCATTGTCTCACTGGTCATGTAGGTAGGAGCCCCAAATTTCAGATTATATTCAAGTGTCATACTTACTACCACATTCCCTAAATTTAAGGATGCCTTAAAACATGAAATAAAAATGATTCCATGTATTCATCTTCTCAATTAATTAACAGATGTGATTTAGATGACTTAGATTTATCTTCATTAAAATGTCCATTCAAGATACTGATTAGATAGACACAGAATTTGGCATAAAATCCTCTTGGGACAAAATTCGGTAATATAAAATGCTATTTGTTTTCAGCCTGATGAAAGGCCCATACAGACATTTGATTAGAGAAGACATCATCTAAATCCTTGTGTCTGCTAAGCCATGCATTTCTGCTTTGCATTTGGGAAACTCTCAAATTCAGTTCAATAAACATTTACACATTATTGTACATTTGTCACATCATAGGCAAGCTATTAGTTCTCGTGGGAATAGTTCTCTGTGTAAGTCACAGAGCTTGCCCTCAAGTAGTTTAATGTCTAGGCAGAAAGATGTGTATCTATCAAATATTACTGCAAAAAAGCATTGTTATTGGTCTACAAACAAGGGGAAATGAGAAAAGAAAATTAATTCTACTGGAGAGATCAACAAAGGCTTCAGAAATAAGGAGCTAATTGAGTTCAGCCAAGGCAATCCAAAAATACACAAGGCCCAAATGTATACTTTATAAAGTAAGAGAAATGTTAGTATTTAAAATAAGAAGTTAGCAGCCTCTAAAAAGTTCTACTCACCTCTCCTGTAATCCTGCTGTCCTTTGTACCTCTTTCTACTCTGATAGGTTGTCTTGCAAAAGATTGGGCCCCCGGCGTGTCACTTGTGACATCCAGAGAGAGCCTTACAACAGGATCACTGCCGTACCAACTTTGAATTCCCAGTGCAGGCAGAGTACAAAATTAAAATTTTGTAAAGGAATGAGCAAAGTATTTTGAAAGCACTTTGTGAAGTCAGTTGAACTTTCTAATGTTTGCATGTTGATTATTTGGGATTTTGAGTCCCCAGATGGCCTGAGTGTGCTGTGGAATTTATCTTGCTTTGACTACAGTCTGGTCTCATCTTTAGTCAGGTCAGCTAAGGGGAGAGTGTGCACAATGCAGATCATGGTTGGCCCTGTGCCCACCTCCATGCCAATATCCTCACTGATCCTGAACAGGTCCACACACACTCATTCATCCCTTTAAACCTGAGAATCAAAATCACAAAAATCTCAGGTTTGAGATCTAATGGACAGGTACAGATGCAGTGTGTGCACGTGCATGTACATACACCGCCCCCCATGCACAAAGATGAGCACATAACATACAATAGCAAAGGTGCAAAAGGGAATGACAGAAATTAGCTGGGTTGTGAAACCTAATGGGCAGATATGGTCTGAGGTGGGCAAAAAAGGGAAATCCATGTAGTCAAAAACATTTTTCCTTGCTCCCTGTGAGAATGATCACCTCTTACCACTTCATAAGAGACAGCAGAATTTTCTTATCTTTTTAATTTTCGTACTTTTATTACTTAAGGTATGTTTAGATCTAAATTTGCTTCCCAGAAATTAGCATTTTACCCTTAGCTCTTTCTCTAAATGTTATCCCCTTGTGAAGTTCAATTCCATTATTATTTTTTATTGCCCAGTAATATATGCCCCTTTTCACAGTGGAAGATAATGGGAGAATGGTATTCAAGTTCCTGAAAACCTCTATTTTATAGTTATAGATATTATAAAAATACATCATGTCCATTTAAGGCAGAGGGAATTGGTGACAGCCATCAGGTAAATTATAATTCACGTGTAATGTTTAAGAATTAAGGGAACCCATTAGAGAGGGTCAATAAAAAGCCTACTTAACCCTGGCACAGTCTGACCCCTTACAACCTCACGAGTGCTCCATGAAGCACGGGCTTCACTGGGCAGCATATTAGAAACACGGTTCTCAGGCCCTATCTGGACCCATGAATCAGAATTTGCATTTTAACAAATTCCCTGTGGTATTAGTATGTGCATTAAAGTTTTAGAAGCATGAGTTAACCAATCACTGGGCCTCATGGAAACTCCATGAAGAGAAATTATTCCATCAATCTTTAATTTAGGTTGGGTTTTCTTTTAAAGATCCACAGACCCACATGCTAATTAGTTTCAATATCTTGCCTAAATTTACATCAAGACACATCCCTGGAATTTGGTGGCCTCCCTACTTTTCATTTTGCATCCAATCCAGTGGTGCTCTGTGGTACAGACTGTCCCTACCACCCACCCCACAGGAGAACCAGGCGTGTGTGGGGAGAAAAGAGGAGTCAGTGATGTGAATTAGAGACTTATGTGGAAGACTGACAAGTGCTTTTAATTGTATGACAGGGATTTCAACTCACTGTCCCCACATTGTTTTTTTCCTCAAAGTATTGTCTTAACCTTGAAGTCATTTTTGCAAAGGAAAACCCTCAAACTCCCGATGGGCTTTTGTGTTTCATATACCAAGTGCGTGATTAGGCATATTTCTTTGCTTGATCTTATTTCTCTCCCACCATTGTCATTTTCAAATTTGTGATACTGAGAAGGTAAGGAGAGGCTGAGTCCCAGGTACTGAGAAACTTGGTTGCTGTAGGTATCCCTGCCAACTAGCTAACAGCCAGAGGAAGATGCCTGTCTTTTTCTGAACTTGAGTTCCATGAAGACAAGAGAGCTATCCATTGCCTCAAAAGATAGAGGGAACTGATTAGCATGGCAATGGTGAATGTAGCCCAGTATTGACCCGAAAAACCCATCAATATGAGGCTGCACACAGGAGCCAGGTGTGCAGATCAGCTTTCCTGCGGGGAACTGGGCCGGCATTGTACCTCGGCTGCTATGAGACCTGCTTTTCTAAAACTCCCTCACCCTGAACTAAGACTGCAGATGTTTAATGTATATCTCTGAAGCAACTCCCTAAAGTCTGTGCTAAGATGTATCAAGGACGAAATGCAACCAAATCAATCATTTTTATCATTCCCTTGCATTTGTAACTTTTTCTCCTTTTTTGTTATCTATAAGAAGGAATCACTTAACTACATCTAGAAATAATGAGAACCTTCCTTTATGTAATGTGACTGGAAACCAATAAAAGCCTGTTCAGGCAAGGGTCGACACGCTCTCCACTTGAGAGAGTGGCCGAGGCTCATATGCGCTCTCCCTTTGAGAGATTGGCTGTGCTGTCCCTTTTTCTCCACAGGATTCGGTAGTCCGTGTGAATTTGTGTACCTCATCCACAACACACAGACTCTGGAGTGCCAGAGTCTGCATCAAAAAGGGAGCATCTCTCACTGCCACCCAGTTTGCATGGGAATGAGCCCACTTAATGGATATTGATGTGACACTGATGATAACAATGGCAAGAATCTCAGCTGAAGGAATGACAGGGTGGGGTTGTGTAGAAAAGGACACAACTATTTCACCTCTTTAACCAACAAAGGAAGACAACGTACCCAAGCTGCACCCCAAACATCCTTCTTCACAAGGCACACATTCTCCATAGTCTGGGTCCTGGACTTCACCTATACAATATGGTGAGAAGAGTGAAAAACAATTCATCTTGAGTGGAGACACATCAGTTTCTATGAAAATATGTTGGTGTGTAGCTTATTTTCAAGCAAGCCATAGAGCAAATATGAAACCCAAAATCATCTTTAAGGATCTATGTGTCATTCTTGTTTTTTTCTCCATTAATTAACTGATTAGATTACCTTAGTTGGGCACAAATAGAACAAGAGTGGGACCATATGCCATGCAACTTGTATTGAAGTTAAGCCTGCAGCTTTTATTTATTACAGAAGTTCTGGGAATATGGAATTGGGTATATAAATAAACAGGCTCTGTCTCTTATCTGTTCTCCTAAACATTTTTTAAAAAAGTTTTAAATCCTATACTACATTAGTAAACATTAAGAAGAAAAAAATATATTTTAATTACTCTAGAAATGCCTTGGAGCTCTTTTTAGAACCAGATTAGGCATAATTCTTATACAGAGCAGAGAAAGTCTGCAGTACTCTTACATGGAAGAGAACAATAATAATAAGTGCTATTTTTAAATATCCCTTCCCCTATGTAAGGTAAGGAATTGGGCAATAACTATAATGCATGATTCACAGCACATTTTAATATTTTCAGGTAGTTTTAAGAGGGCCGAGTCTCTTTGGCTCCTCACAGCAAGCGTCTTGGTGCTGTGCTCTCCTTTTTGCAAATGAAGAAAACAAGCAAGGCATGGAGAAATTGGACTAATTTTTCCCAGAGCATCATAACTAGTAGTTAGGAAGGAGAAAATTGTTGGCCATGACTTCCAGATTCTAATCTAATTTTCTCTCCACTGTACCCTACCCACAAACCCTCCACTCAAGATCCATTTCTGTGTGATTGGCTACGCTCATTATGTTCTTGGATTATGTCTGGGGAAACCCAGAGAAAAGGTGAGTGGGGAAGAGAGAGGGGCATCTATCACTGTTCCCACTTGATGTATAGTTACGTAAAGTCATCCCAGGCACTGACAGTAAACCAAGGAGACAATCTGAGAGTGTGGGACATCTGAGTGTCCAGCTCCTCCTGCCACCTCCTGGTGTAGGGCAGTGGCCCCAGATCAGCCTTACCTGGCCCACACTCGAACTTCTGGCAGGTGTGGTTGGTGGGTGCTATAAAGTAGCCGACCATACATCGTGTGCAGATGTGTGCGTTGTGGCAAAGTTCACAGTTGTCTGGGCAAGGCAGGCAGGCTTGCCCCTCGGCAGGGTAGTACCCCACCGGGCAGCTCTCCCGACACTCCCCCTGGTACAGGAGGCGCTTCTGGCCGTGCTTATCTGAATAGACAGAGAGGCAACAAAAAGAGGGGAAATGAATGCAATTAACCATGAAGCTAATGTACACAAAACTTTTTATTAAAAAAAATATGACCAAGTGCTTTGGCTCCTAGGGGACCAGGAGTATAAGAATGGATTTAATGAAATGTGCAATATCTGTAAACTTGTATTTGAAAAGTTTTCCTTGGGCTGCTTGCAGTATTCATGGAAGCTCACAGACCCGGGGGCTAGAGACCTCATGAGAATAAACAAATACTGATAGACAAGGTTTTTTCTTTTAAAAAGGACACTGCAGTCTTTTAGAATGATTTTGAATTCCATGATCAAAATCACATGCTTGTGTTAATTGTCTGAATTTTTGCACTGCTGCCAACTCCCACAATGGCGGCCCACTGAAGCACTAGACCAGGCATATGTCTTCAGCTCCTTTATAGGCATTCCGAAAAGTCCCTGAGCTTCTGTCAAGACTGGGCTCTACAAGGAAAGAATCAGCAGTACTTCTAGCATGAGACTATGGGAATTTACTCCTGGGTGAAGTGGAAAATTCTAATTAGTTACAAACAATTGCAATTAATAAAAAATATAGCATAATCAGTTACAAATAAATATATCAAAAAAGCAAGATTAATATGGATGCACCTAGAGGTCTTCTACCCTTCTCCTCTTGGAGTTTTTGTTTGTGCTGAGGATGTTTAGGATATCCACCTTCTCTGAATTAGATCTCCCATATGCTTTGTCTTCGGAAGAACAGCTGATCTGTGCTACCCAAAATAACTGGGGTCTACTATTCACTCATCATGTATCACATGAAGACCCAGAACCACTGACATTCAAAATGCAAGGATGCTGAATTTATGCACAAAGATAGCACTGACTATCTGACTATGATGTTACCAGTACAGAAACTGAAAGTCAGTATACTGTTAGATGGAACCACATGAAATTGCTAACATTCAACTATTTTTTACCCATAAACTTGGCACTCTCAAATGGTTTAACCTAATGTTTCTTATTTAGTTAAAGGCCTTGTTGAAATACAATAAAAAAAAACACACTCTTAGATTATGGGCTCTGAAGCCCCCTCTTTTCTGGTGGTGATTTTAGGCCAGAAGTCTGTTGGTTCTTGTGGGAACAAAAAATAAATAAATAAAGAGGGCTTCCATAGAGGTGGTGGAAAAGAGTCTACAGCCTCCACGTTTGAAAGGAGAGTCTTTGGGAGGATAAATACCCTTTGGGAGAGTACTTGGGAGATTCTGCAGCCATAGACCAGTGCTGTGGAGCACAAATCCCTGATTAGGTACTTGGAATCTCAGGAGACCACCCAAGGGGGTTGACCTTACAAGTTATGTTCTTCTCAGGCACACTGTGAGAGCCTAGCAAACCCCATTTCCATGACTCATTCAGAAAAGACCCTGTGTTCCAGAGGGCCAGACTTCTCAGACCCAGTTAGGAAGCTCAAGGTAGGTGGGAAATCTGCTCTCTCTCTGTCCAGCAGTTGTACAGTCTCTACACTTTGACATGGTGTCAACCCAGGACCCAGAGACTTGGGGACAGCCTGGCATAGAGTGAGTTCTAAATACATGTTTGCTGAATGATTGAATGACTGAGTGAGTGAATTAATATTTGGCAGTGTTCCTATTTTCCCAGCCCAGCCATCTGGATCTTGAAATAAAAAATTAACAACGATAGGTTCAGATAACAGAGAAAATGTTCTCCAACCCCATTTTTATTGTTTAGACATGGTTTTACTATTTTAGACAACTTTGGATATTATAATTTAGATTTATGGGACAGAGATTTGAAGGGCCTTGGTATTTAAAACATTCAGACCCTGCATGAGGGGCTCACTTAGATGCCTTGACCATGGCCAGCTTTCCCCATGGTCTTGGTCCAAGAGAATGCCAAGATTTGGTTATTTTTCTAATGGTCTGAGTAGTATAGCAGCTCACTAAGTTTGGTTTGATAATTTGTACACCCCATTGATTTAAATCCCAGTCATACATTTTTGGCTACTTGCCAAGAATTTAAATATTATAATTATGTGTAGGAGAAGCTGGTTCTATTGTAGTAATAGAAGGGCAGATATTTTTGCTAGTCACCAAATCTTTCATGTGATGAGACAAGGGTTAAAGTTCAGGAACTCCAAAAGAGGTTCAGATCAGCTTTCACTTATACTGAGGAGGAGTAATGAACTCTTTCCAGTTAATTCCACTTCATTACTGGAATTAATTATTTCCAGTTAATCTTTTAGCAGGTGATTTTGTTAGAAGAGAAGGCAAGGCAATGTGAAGACAGTGGATGTCTCCAGGAGGAAAGGAAGGTTGAGGGTTGAAGGCATGGTGGGGTGGGGGGAATTGCTGGAAAGAAGGAAAGAAAGAAAGGCCGAGGGACTCTGAAAATAAATTCTGTTTACTATTGCTGCTGGTTCACTTTGGTAGAGAATAAATATGGGAGAAAATTTAGAGTGAATCTTCACCATCATAGCTGGAGATCTGCCTGTCTGAAAGGATTCAGACCTAAATTTTACCAAAATTAAAATTAAGGGGTGACATTTCTATGAAATGATGGGAGAGACTTATTGACTTCCTAGCCACAGGATTCTCAGTCTTTTATGAAAGCCTACTGGTACAGAACTGTATCAGTTCACTCGTCGATCTTCTCTAGCACTATCTCACATGTTAGCTGTGTTAATACATGAACTAGGGGCATTATGCTCTTAATAGGAGAGAATCCTGCTGATCAGAGCTTGCTCAACAACAGTATCCTCTGTAGGAAGCCTCCTCTGCTCACTGCAGCTGAAAGTGAGTCTTCTTCTCTGACCTGTGGTAGGATTCCTGCTATTCATTTGGTTTTCAGTATTTTCTTGTTTTATAATACATGAGGACACACCCCTCTGTTAGACGTAAGTTCTTTGAAGGCAAGTATCATTTATTGTAATTTCCATGACAGTTTGTACAGTAACTTATAATGGGAAGGCAGAATGAATTTTTGTTAACATAATGGATTAAGCACACTTTCAAACAGAAAGAAACGTACAAGCATTAATGTGTGGATTGTTCTAAGTAGCAATAGGATATTTAGAACATTTTAGACATGTATTTAGCATTTGAGCTACTCCTTAAATGTGTGCTATGCATGAAGAATTAGTGTGTCTTAAATCTGAAAGGGATTTTAGATGGCATCTTCTCTGTGCTCCCCCTTTTTGCAAACAAGAAGAGACTTGAAGAGGTGAAGTGACAACCTAGAACTTAGGTTTTCTGATTGCTGGTACTGATGTTCTTTTTACTGAACCATTCATTCATTCATTTATATTTTGTGCCTTCCATATGCCGGACTCTATGCTAGTGCTCAAAATACAACAGAAAGCAGGTAAAACCATTCACTGCTCTTACAGGGCATAGTCTTATGGGCAAGGTGGGGATCAAGTGCGAGGAGGTTTATAAAGTGGGAAGTACAGGGTTCCAAGCATCCTCATATGAAGTGGGCTTAAATTAGGTAAGGAGGGTAAGGCAACCCTTACTGAGGAAATGACATTGAAACTGAGACCTAAAGGATGACTAGAAGGAGATCAGGAAGACAATGAGTGGGGAACATCTCAAGTGAAGTCTTTGAACAGCTGCAGAAGCTCAAATGCCCATAGGAATAAGGAAGTATAAACATTAACAGCAGCAGTAATATTAAGCTAATATTTTATTGAGTGCTTCCTATATAGCCAGCCCTGTTCTAAGTGCTTTGTTATTCTATCTCGTTTAGTCTTTTTTCATTTTTATCATAATCCTAGAATAGGGGAACCATTATCACCATCTTGTAAATGAGGAAAGAAACAGAATGAGCAGGCTGCAGACAAAATTTGACATAGATATACTTTGTATACATAAGAAACACAAAGAAATAATTTTAATCTATACAAAGAACTGTGTTATTTCCCATATTTCTTCAAAGCATGGTACTCTCAATTTGTTCCTTTTTCTTGATTTTATTACAAGCAAGAATAAAGATAAATAATTCTCTCCCACCAGAGATGCCATGGTGTTTGGTGATGGTGGTGACTGACAGCCCCAGAGTCAGTGAGAAAACCGGGGATGGTGAGGATGGTGGAGAAGCTGGCTGCAGTCAACTGCTACCAGGGAACGTAGACCCAGTGTTGCCAGGTCGTTCAAGTTTTTAAGAGAAACAAAAAAAGCCAGGTTTTTATTTATAGTTTCTCAATTTTAAAATTTGGCTCAAATTTTAAAGGTATGATTCAGGTCAAATAACATATGAATCAGTCCCACGTGAGGTCAAAGTAAGGGAGAGTCCTGTGAGGGGAGTGTGGACTGGAGCCGGCGGTTGAACTGCAGAGGACCTTCGAGGTCACCGGTCATGATCCAGTGACAGCATAAACCTGAGTTGCTAAAACTGGGACAGAGAAGGTCATATCTGTGTTTTAAAGTGGTTATTTTGTTCCCACAGGGTGCTGACAGCTTCTAAATGGCATAGCTCTTGGCTGAGGAGACCTAGGCACAACCTCTATTAGAGTATTTCTCTGAAAGGCAGAGTGTGTCTGCCTCAATTTCCTGGCTTTTCACTTTTACCTCAACAAATCTGAGCTTTACTGTCTGTCTCATGTCTGATATCATGTTCAGATGCCCCTTCTATCTCCTTCTTTGGAAGGACATTGCTTAGCTTCTCTCTCCTCTCCTCAGGGGCAGTGAGTCTACAATAATGTAAACTCAGATCCAGACAACAAGCAGAAACTTGGTTGAACACACTCTCTAATGAACAGCTGTTTAAACTCAACCCCTTTTCCCTAGAGATGACGCTTCTGAGTCACGCCACATAATGTCCCAACCCAAATAATGAAGCAACAAAGAGCAAGTGACCAACCAGATTTCCTCACCTACTCCACAGGAGGTGCAGTTGGAAGGCCCATTTCCTTGGCATTCTTGGCAGGTGTAGTGGCATAGCTGGCATTGGCTCTTAAATTCATATTTGCCCGAGGGACAGTCCAGAACGCAGCGGCCATCATCAAAAATCCTAGAGGAAAAGCAGGCTTTTAGAGTTTGTAAGGGTGACTTTCTGGAATAGCCTTAAGTTTCAGAACATGTGGTGTTTGTGTTTTGCTGCACAGGCATGGTTTCATTGTTCTAGAAGCAACAGGGATGCCTGGGACTGATCATCTTAGACCATGTGGGATATTAGTCACGTACCCATCCTTGGCCCAAGGTTTGGAGCCGACAGCAGGCGCACCAGAAACTGGCTGGGGATGCAGCCCTGATTCTGGTTGCAGATAAGCTAACCAGTGCCCCAGGGATTAAACCCATATTGTAGGCCACAGCCAAATGCAACCCACACTCAGATAATGGTCTTGGAACTTTCAAGACATAGGAACTCAGAATCCAGAGGCCTTGGAGAAAATGTTCTTCCTTTAGGTATGAACATGCCCACACTTTGCAAGGGAAATGTCAACTGTAAGGGCTCTCAGAGGATAGAATGAAGTACTGTTCTATAGCTTAGGTGCTACTTATAAACTTGGCCTATGCATGTGGCAAGTAATCAATGAACTCTAATTTTGTGTGTCATTTTTGCAAACATTTCCTGAAGTATAGGGCACCACATCTTCCTTTTCTGATCACATTTTCAATCACTTCTAAGGACACCATGGATAGCAGGTAAGCTTCTAAAACCTGCTTGGTTTCATGCACATACCACATATATCATAATGTCATGGCTAATATTTTCATAGTTTTATTTCTTCTTTTTCCCTTGCAAAGTAATCCCAAGAGCAAATGTGATTAAGTAAATTGTATCCAAGAATTTTGCTCAGAAAAATTCAAAATTGGTGCCCAAATGCAAGAGTCAGATGGGTATGTGAACAGATGAGATGAGCTGGGGGGCTCACCCCCCAGAGCTTCTAATTCAGTAGTTCCAGGGTGGAGAGAGCTGAGAGGGTGTATTTTTTGACACATTTCGGAGTGATGCTCATGCAGCTGGTCTAGAGAACACACTTGAGGACTGCACACCTTCTGCTCACTGATAGTCTGGATGGATTACTATGGGGTTTGCTAAATGATTCCTATGTAATACAGGTGGTACCAGATTGGTGTCTTGTAGTATGTCTTTAGAGTAGTAGTTATTGTGTCAGTTGGATGATTAACTGAGCACATAGTACATATATGCCACTGAGGGCATAATGCTGGCATCCAAGCCTTTCTTCCACCTCTGTCTACTCAGACTGGATGTCACATGGGAGGCCAGGTATAGGTCTCATGCCACTTCTTCCTGGGGTGGCACCGGCACTGTTTGCATAGGTAGAGCCAGCCCTGAAGTAGGGATAGGCATTTCAATCCCAAGCTTGGAGGAAATTGGGTGGAGCAAGGTTTGCTGAATAGAGTGTTACTGGCAGCCTTCCATCTTGTTCCTACTCTCTGAAATTCTGTGTCATTTGCATCTGTTTGGAATCAGGTTGGGATTAAAGCCAACAGCATAGAATAGAAGGCTATCTCATTCCCATCCCCCCCAGGTTCTGGTCACCATACCCAGCACCACTGGGGGCCAATCCTTGGCTCACTGCAGAGCATGGAGACCAGTCCTAAACAGACACCCACACACGTGGGATGTCTTCGTCCAAACAGATCCCCTGAACCATGGCGTATGATGAGAAGACTGTGTTCCCAGCCCAGACTTTTAGCTGATGGTACTAATGCCAACTTGGAATATCCCGATCTCACCCTTCCTCTGCTTTTTGAGCTAGAAGATTTTTCAAGGGATAATTTGGATGTAGCTAGTTAAAAAACAAAACAAAACAAAACCCCCCTCCCTTTAAGAAAAACTGAGCAAGAGCTTCCTGGGGTTTTTAAACAAAGAAGCTATTCGATGCTCTGCCGAAAAAGAGAGTGGGACATGTTTACTTGTGAGGGTTCATTTTTTTGCTAAAAGAAAAGGGGATGGAAAGTATATCATTATTTTGTCCTTTATAGAAAGATATGACAGATTAGTTAGGGAGAAATTATTTCTCTTTAGAGGGACGACTAATAGTTTCAATGATGGGAGCCATCTAAAATCATCCAGAAACTGGTGTGGGGGTGAAACATGGTGTCATATTTCTTATGTTGGTACTGGGCCACCTTTCTTACTTGAGTGCCTGATTAAGCACATAATGGTGCTTTAGATCACCTCCGTCCACCTCTGCCCTAAGGAAAGCACAGGGACACACCCAGTTTTTGTAAGAACATGATTCTTTGTAAAGATCAAAAGGCAGAGAAAACAGTCAGCCTTAAGTGCAGGCCCTGAATTATGTCATCACCCATGCCCCCAAACCCCTCAAGAAAACTTGCCAAAGAACTTGAAGAAAAGTACCCTTTCGAGCAGTGCAGATTTACACTGGCACCAACAAACCCTCCCTAGTGGAGGAGAATGGATACTTGCCCTGGTCTCCATGGGGCCCAAATCATCTCTGAGATCACCAGTCAGCCAGTTTGAGCATTTCTGAGATGCTCAGACAAGGTCATCTGTACAGGCAAAGCACTTCTCTCCCCAAATCACACATGCTCTTGGCCTTTCCCTAACCAGTGAACCATCTTGGTCCATCAGGGCTCATGGAAAGGAAGAAGGTGGCAAAACCGAGTGCTAAAGAGCTGGGCAGAGGTGATGTTCTCAACATTGGTACTGGATTCTCCAGAAGCCCCAGGAGTGAGTATGTGTGTGTGTGTGTGTGTGTGTGTGTGTGTGTGTGAGAGAGAGAGAGAGAGAGAGAGAGAGAGAGAGAGAGAGAGAGAGAGAGAGGGAGAGAGAGGGAGAGAGAGAGGGAGAGAGAGGGAGAGAGAGAGGTGAATTGGAATGGAAGAGATGACAAGTCAGGGTTAGCTGTCCTCTGTGCTGATTAGTTTGGCCTAAATAAAGCCATAGGAAGGGCGTTTAATGTAACTCCTTGGTGCTTTAATGTTTTAACAGAATGAAATCTGGCAAAAGGCTTTTTTTTTTCCCTTGAATTGATTGAAACAGATCAAATAAAACTTTAGAGGGTGGGTAAGAACAGAGGTATCTTTTACATGCTTTTAATTAGTTTGTCAACTCTGTAGCTGCTTCAGGGCTGGGCTGGGAGATCAGCCTGCGCAGTGGGGACCACAGCCTGACAGAGCAATGCAACAGTGGTTCAAGTTTTAAATAATTTTTAAGAATCTAAATCCAAGAGTTGATGAAAACATAGAAGGAAAACTAGAAGTTGAAGAGAAGACTTTTAAATTTTTGATTTCCCATAGAACAACTTCAGAGTTCAATTATTATTTTAAAATTATATTATGGAAAAATTTAAGTATATATAAAATAAAAGTATCATTGTACTTTTTATGAAAGTTCAATGAAGAATATCATTGCTGTATTCTTCACTCAGCTTCAACAGTTAGCATCAACACACGGCCGATCTTATTTCATCTCAATCCCAACTGATTTACTTCCCTCCCATATGGTTGTTTTTTAAAGATTTGCTTATTTACTTTTAGACAGAGGGGAAGGGAGGAAGAAAGTGAGGGAGAAAAACATCAATGTGTGGTTGCCTCTTGTGTACCCGCAACTGGGAACCTAGTCTACAACCCAGGCATGTCCCCTAGACTGGGAATCAAACTAGCAACTCTTTGGTTCACAGGCCAGTGCTCAATCCACTGAGCCACATCAGCCAGGCCATGTTGTTTTGAAAATACCTCTAAGTTAAATTCCCTTAGAGATGAATTTTATTCTACCAGGACTGGAGATATCCAAAAAGTTTAGAATAAGAAGAAACTCAAGGAGACCAACTGTCCTGGTTATCCTGTTCATCCCCCCTTCCTCCTGCCCAGATCCGTCTGCCAGCATGGTCTGTGCTGGAGTTGTGTTCACTAGGAACCGCTTCTCCAGGCTCACTTCTCTCACTTGCAAGTGGTGTTTCCCACTGGCCTCTGGTTAGTTTTAGACAGGGGGAGACACCATTGGGGTCTGAGGGTGGAAGGAGAGATTGGGGTATTTATTCCAACCAAAGCCATAACTCTGTTTCCCCCTTCCATGGCTCTAGAGTGGCTGTGTCCCCTCTAGCTCTAGTTTCTACAAGGAGTGACCCCAAAACCTGGAATTTATTTATTAAAAAATTATGTATTTATTCTTACATGTTCAAACTTCAGTCACCTTCCATTTGATGTTCTCCATTTGATGTAATACATCTATCGAGACATTTTTTTTCCCACTGCTCAAGACAGTTTTGAGCTCAGCAATTTTGATGCCTTTTAGTGCTTCTGCTGTTTTTTGTTTCACATCTTCCACATTGGCAAAATATTCTCCTTTGAGGACTTATTTCAGGGGAAAAAAGTCACTTGGGGGGAGATTGGGTGAATAGGGAGGGTGGGGCATGTAGGTCATGCCATTTTTGGTAAAAAAAAATGCTGAATACTCAGTGTGGTGTAGTCAGGTGCACTTATAAATCATCCAACATGAAATGGGTAAATGCGTTGAAAGAGTCTTCAAGAAAGTTTCACTGCAGCTGACACAACACAGCCTCTCACAACAACACATCTGGCACACTGATACAGATGGGTTCCTCGAATACTCACCAATGGGGGAAGCCTGTACTACAAGGGGCCTGCCTTCCAGAAGATAATTCCAGCTTCTTTTGGGTCCCCCCTAATGCAGGGTGTCTCCTCTTCCATGGTTGCAGCTTTAGCTTCAGGCCTAGGGTGTTAAGGCTATCCCACTATTGCTTGTCTCTGAGTGCATTACCATCCCTTGACTTTGACTTTCTGACTTGCCTGTAAGAATTCATGGGCCTTGAACCTAACTCAGAGCTGGACAGAAACCAAGTGCTGAAGACTGTCTTGAGCCTGACCAGGTAGCTAAGTTGGTTAGAGCATCGTCCCTGTATGCCAAGGTTGTGGGTTTGATGTCCAGTCAGCACACATAGAAGAATCAACAGATGAATGCATGAATAGGTAGAACAAAAAATCAATGTGTCTCTCTCTCTTAAAATCAACCAACCAATCAATCAATCAATCAATCAATCAGTAAAAAGACTGTCTTGAATGGACCTGATGCCACTTAAGGAAATACTTTGGCAAATAATTTGCTGTAGTTTTCAGGAACAAATAAATTGACGTCATCTTTCAAAGCAGTTTCTTTCTTCTCATCTTTTCAACCCCCTTCCAGGAAAATGCAGGTAAGCGAAGAAGTCAGATAGTCCATTGCCATGATATGATGCCCTTTCTCGGACATATTTGCAGGTAACTGACACCAAGGAAGAGGACTGGGCAAAGAATTGAGTGCTCAGGGAGATGAGAAGAAAATTGTTCCTGTGGAACAAGATTTCCTTAGAAGTATATCCTGGTTCAAGATCCATACACATGTATTTCTTTCTTCAAAAGTTAAAAAATCATGGGCTGCTTAAACAAGTTAAACTACCCATATGGCCCAGGAGGTGTACCTCTCATCTCGTACCTGTGGGCTTAGATACTTCTTGAATGGCCATTTATGGTAGTTGAAGTCTTTCTCACTTCTGGTGAGCCTGAGGCGGTCATGACTTCTGGACTGTACACAGGACAAAAGTAGCTGCTTTATTAAACAACTGATAAATGTTCTCTTTGTTCAAGGATGTCCAGATATGCAACGGAATTTGATTATGGATATGGTAAAGAGTTAGAGGAGAAATAGGACCCATTTTTAGAAAGCTGTCTGTATCTAATAGAGTGCCCTGAAGCTGCTTTAAAGCTAATTCAGTATTTAGAGGTATGGGTACTTCAAAGAGACACTTGGCAAATGTTATCACACTTACCACTGAGGATACTTAAGACTCTTCTTTTGTGTTTCCCTCCCTCTCTCCTTTCCTCTCTCCATTCTCATTCTGAGGGAACTGTCTGGAGAGCCAAGCCCCCGATGTTGATTACACACTTTATAAAGTTCAATAAAACACACATTTATTGAATTATTACTATATGTTGATCACTGTCGGGGAATAAAGAGAAATAAATACACTGCAGTTCCTGCTCAGCATGTTGCAGTCCTGAGGGAGAGTTAGACACAGTGACTATGCAGGGCAGAGGGACACCCCTCCCAGAGATTCACCTGCCCCTGAACAGCCTCGTCCCACTGGTCTGGGGAGAGACTGTGCTTCCTGCGCATTAAGCAGAGCAGTGGCGGGCCACTCAAACGGCTAGTCAGTCAACACATAGTAAGTGCTAGAACCAGAGGAGTGTTAACAAAAAATATGACAAGCTTATAATTCTCTTTATTAGAAATTTTCAGTTAATTAGAAATTAGCGTAGATGCTTATCCTATTTGGATACTTAGTATTTCCTGGTTCATTCAATGCTTGAACATTTGAGTGCCTACCATTTTCCTAGCACTGTGCTAGAAAATAGAAATACAAAGATGAGTATTTTAAGGAGCATATAGTCTAACAAAGGGATAGATTTGTAAATGAATGTCTTGAAATGTCACAGTTGCTCTTATGGGAGTTTATACAGAGACAGAGGAACATAAAGAGGAAGAAGTTAATTCTTTTGGGAAGAGGTCAAAAAATGCCTTCCTAGAACAGTTCACCCATGACCTGATTCTCAAGATTGGAGTAGGAATTTGCTCAGCAGATGGGGATGATGGTGGAGGGGTGGCTGTGCAGAAAGGGATGAGACTCCAGGCATTCAAGTCACCACCATCTTCATTGATGAGAAGACTCCTCTAGTGTTCAGAGTACTGATTCTTGCAGTGGATACTGGGCATCCAGTCCAGTGGATACTGGGCATCATCTCTGGAGAGAAGATGCTCCAGACCATGGAGGGTTACTGTGTCATGGGAAAGAGCTTGATTCTTTTTCCTGAAGTTCCAAAATGTGTCTCTTAGCAGGTAAGCACCTTCTCTCTCCATCCTGCAACCCATGAACTACCAGCCATAGGAGACAGACACCACTCACCTGGTGATGGGGCAGCCAGTGCAGTGTTCCTGGGCCGGCCCCCAGCACTTGGCACACGAGGCTTCACACATCTGGCAGCGGCCATGCTCATCAGTGTATTCTCCTGGGGAAAAAAAACCTAGCTGTTTACCTCATTTCTACGTGGCAGTGCTCTCTGGGCTGTCAGTCTGAGAGCAGCCAGACCTGTCTGTGGCTGCCTGAGAGCAATGGAGACAACACAGAGAAAAGGACCTTGAATGGCTTCAGTGGCCAATCCTAAATCCTGACCTTATAATAACAACTGCTCCTCTCCCAAGGGCCCTGGAAGTTGGAACCTTGGAAAATCATGAGGCAATGACATAATTTTGGATCCAGTCGAAATGTGTTACAGATTTTATAAATAGATGCCAAGGGGGCTTCCTACAGGACCCTTCACTGAGCTCCTGCTGACTTTCCCATTTAAAGCTGAAGACTTATGGCCCACAGAGATCCCACTTACAGCCCTGGTTTAAGTTAAGCAACAAACTGGACTCGCCTAGATCTTGTCCTATCACTCTGGGGAGGATTGTGATTACTTGTTAAGAAGGGGAGTTGAAGCTTGGCTGACATTTGACAGATGTCAGCTGCCTCTCGCCATGAAAGTGTAACAGTGAAGAGATAGCCAGAGAATTCTTCATTTAATTGGAAAGCTTATCTTTCCCAAGCAAAAACATACATGAGGCCTTTCTACAGAAGCAGGGTCGGCTCCACCAACCCCTTGTAGACATTTAAGAAATCACTCCCACTGCAAAGGTGGTAGAGAGAGGTGAACCTCACCAAAAGTGATATTCCAGTGATGGGTCTCTACTCACTGAATTCAGCCCTCAATTCACACTATACTCATCCTCTCATCCCATTGTCTTAAAAGAAGTTGACTTCAAAGAAACTGAAATTCCTTCAGTCTGATTCAAAGAGGCACTTTGTATGGCTTAGAAATTGATCATGCTCAGGAACTATGGATTTGGATTTCATCAGAGTCACAACCTTCACTTGCCTCCTACCCAGCTTTCACAGCCCTCTAAGCATGCCTGAACAGTGTCAGTCTAAGACCCAGCCAGAGTGGTGAGGTGGCAGGACTTGCCTATGGTTTAATCAAGTGGTGTTGCTGAAACTCTAAGGTTCACTGCCTGGTTTATTGTAGCTGTATGGAAAAAAGCCCTGGGAATGTAGACTTGACTGGTGAGGAATTGAGGGAAGTCCATTCCCCCGCTTTTCCCCCATAATCTTACTGAATGAGTTCAGCTGAGTAAGGTAAACCTTATATATGCAATTACATATGCCCTTACTAGCACTAAACCACAAAAATGAGTGAGCCTTGGAGTGAGTAGCCAGTGGGGGCAAAACATGGAAATGTGCAAATTGTTCACTGCACAAGGTGCCTGCCCAAACTGTCACCTGGAGTTGGAAACCCAGCCTGTGTTGATTTTGCCAAGCTGTGCAAACTGGCATTCACTGCCTCTTTCTCTGTAGGGAGTGGAGCGCCTTTCACTAGTTCACACAACAGTGTTAGATTGGACTATTTTCTTGGTAATCAGTAGTCCCAAGGCAGAAAAAAAGCTGGGACTTCTGTCTAGTACGAGTGTTGATTTCAAGTTGGGAATGTCACTCAATGTAGACACATTTATGCAGCCTTCTTCCTATTTATTCAGGCTCCCCTATTTCACCTCTTAATTATTGCCCTTGTGTAATCTCTTTGCTTGTGCCACGAGGCACAACCAATTGAGCAGGGTAATTATCAGTCCAGGCACCAGTTAGCTGAAGAGCAGAGGAGCTAGGGCCTGGTAGGAACAAGTAGAGCTTGCCTACCTTACACATGCTAATGATTTGTGTTGGATGATAGCTACACACCCTTCAAAATATACGTGCAGAGTGGAACAGGTATGGGGGAGCATCACAGAGGCTTTTAAACCCAAAGAAAATGTTTTCTAGAGAAATATTGGATCATAGCTTGTTCATTCATTCATTCATCATTCACTCATTCATTCCATGGATATTTTTTGAATACCTATGTGCCATGTACTAGGTGAGATTTTGAGATATATAAATTAAAAGGGCCCTACTCTTGGGTTCTCAAAGATTTTTGGGAAGAACGCTCTATAAGGAAATATTTATAATTCAGATGCTAACCAGGAGCCTTCAGCTTCTTTGGATAGGCTACACTGAAGTCTAAAACAGAAGAGCAAGGGCATACCCTGGACTCTGCTAGACCTAGATGCAAAGACGATTATTTTGCCTTGACATTGGTACCTATAAAAACGGACACAGTGGTTTGGTTCTCCTAACTTACCGCCCATCCACCCTAATCTCTGTGGTGCATTAGATTTAATGCTAGGGTGGGTTTTTAAACTAAATACACCTTGCTCTACTAAGTTGAGTGCTATTTAGATGGTTTTGAGAGTTATACCATATCTGCACCCAAAGTTTCCCTTGTAGTTACAGATGATTCATGGTTATGTCAAGCAAGGGTTATACAGATACTACTGTGGAAATTTTCAATTCTCTGGTGTCTTTTGTTTGCTTCTCTCTTGGCTTCCATAAGCCAGTAGGTGGCACTGATATCCTGCCCTCGTCCATCCTTTTCTGATCTGCTAAACTATCATTGCCTCTATTGGCATTCAAAGTTATCATCACCTTAGAAATAATCATCACTTGAAATTGCCCCATCTCTGAGATTTTAAATATCTCCTTCCAAACACAACCTTCTTATGCTCCAGTATGGTGAGCTCAGCCCAATTGATTATCCTTTCATTCATCTTTCTAGTTCCCTCTTGCATTTCTCACTGGAGCTAGGTCAAACTGCTCTAAGACCCAAGTTAGAATGGAGCACCCATTCTTTCTCAGAAGGTGATCGCACAATGTAATTTGCTGATGATATACTGAATTTCCCCAGCATCATTTTTTCTCAATGCCAATATTCCTTTCTTTCCTCTCCTGGACTGTTCACTTGTCTCCTGTCTCTGAGGAAGGTACGTCTCTCCTCCTGGCCTTTGTCAACTCTCCATCTAATGCTTTTAATCTTCCCTCAGGATATTTCTCCACCAGTATCTCTGCCTTCAATCTTGTCTCCACATTTCTCATTAGTCTTTGATCTACAAATGTTCTCCCCAACCTGCAACCTTCCCAAGCACTTTTCTTTTTTGATAAGTGACCCTTGAAACATGTTTTTTGCTCCTACCATTTGGAAACAAAATGGAGAAAACCTCATGACCTTGAAGCTTATGTAAGCAAGTCAGCGCAGGACACTAAACTGTACCTCTTCCCAGTCTTCACGCCTCTTAACTTTAGAGCAAACTCTGGCTTTAGAACAGATGAGAATAGAGGGACCTGCCTTAATTTTCATATTTATGTGGATGTCCAATTAGTTACATAAACAACCGCCCCAGCCCTTGCAGGCACAAGTTTCCTGCTACACATTTGAAACCAGAGAAACCAGATTCCAAGGACATGGCAAAGTTGCTTTTTTTTTTTTTTTGGTTGTTGGAGCAGCAAATTCTTCTCATCTGTGTGTGTTGCACAACGAAGCTGAATGTTTATGACAGGAGTGATATACAAAATTTTTAGAGAGAAATCATTTTTAGCACAGATGGCTGGGGCCAATATTTTGTTCTCCATCCCATCCTACAAGCTCTTCCTTCTGGTGTCTTCATCCATTACTGTTATGTCCAAATTATCTTTCTTCTGTGATCAACAGTTTTTCATTCCCTTTGAGTTCCTTTTTCATCTCATCCTATAATAGTTTAAAGGACATTGAAGAAGTGTCTCATGAGGAGCAATGATATCTCAAAAGTTGAAGACACAGCTTAAAAATTAATACTTGCAAATTTTTAAATTTTTAAATTTACAAGTAAGTGGTGTGCTCTGGTTGTTCCACTTCTTGGGAACATTAGAGCATATGTTTGTGTTAATGAATCTAAGTTATAAATAAACTTTATGAAATCGTCCAGAATAGGTATACATTTATTATACCATGCACAGCTACTAAACTCGGTTGAGAATAATGTAACAAAGGACTCACCGAGCCAGAAGAACTTCATTTCTCTTCAGAAACACTGTGCTTTCTTTTATGCCTCATAATATTTCTCTATGGATTAGGGCCACATTTGAGTTTAAGCACATAAATATATAAACTAAATAAATTAATAAACACATAGGGAAATAGGTTATCATGTGAGTCTAGAACAGCTTTTTTAGCAAGAGTGATTGGTAAGAGAAGATGGGATACGTTTGAAGAGAAACCAGCCATTTGGTTTTGATCTGGTTGTTTCAGTGAGCAGTCATGGGGCAGACCTTGTAGACCTCGGTTCATACACTGTCACTCAGGGCCAGGAGGCAGAGTGGGACTTTCCTGAGTGACTACAACCTCAAGTGCTAATCAAATGATACTGTCTTTTTGCAAGGATGCCAGTACCTAGTTTCTAACCTGATACCACTGTGTAAAGACAGTTAGTGTGAAAAGAAATCCATATATTTCTTACTTTTCACCAGCTACAATAAATACTCAGGTACACTTTCAACTAATTACATACTAATGAAATAATTTAGTTTTTACGCATCATTAAATGTGAAATTTTATAACAAGGGCCAAACTCTGAGGCCATCTACCTCATATGGCCAATATCTTCACCTAAAAGTCTACACCAGCGACTTTCAACCTTTTTCATCTCATGGCACACACAAACTAATTACTAAAATTCTGCAGCACACCAAAATATATATTTTTGGCTGATCTGACAAAAAATAGATATAATTTTTATTTATTCACACTGGAAAGCTATTGTGCTGGGTGTTATCATTTTGTTATTTGACAGTCTAAGGGAAAAGAGGTCGGTGCCCCATAGTCAGGTATCGCATGCACTCTGGTTGAAAATCAGTGTTCTACACAGTCATCCAGCCTTAAAAAGGAAGGACATCCTGACACATGCTACACCATGGGTGAACCTGGAAGACATTAGGCTAAGTGAAATAAACCAGTCACAAAAAGACAAATACTGCATGTTCCATTTATACAAGGCACCTAGAATAGTCAAATTGAGTAGGACAGAACATAAATTGGCTGTTGCCAGGTGCTGGAGAGGAGGGGAAAAT